TAGAATTAATTAAATCCTGCTGACCTAGCGTCCCAGATGCAATACCTCTGTAGCCCCCATAGTTTGAGAAACACTGGTTGAGGTACACCCTGTTTCCTTGTCTTGCCATTCCAACACAATGCCTGCATTGCTCTGATTGATCAGGAGGAAGTGTTTAGATACATGAGTAAATAATTCCAGTTTTAACTCTGCCTCGGTGTTGAAATCAAATTATTTGTTCTAATCGAATGGGTCCTTGTTAGCTACTTTTTCATATAATGTTTTGTACAATCAGTGTTAGATGACTCATCTTAGACCAAAATATGCATAGATTAATACAATATGACTCAGGGTCTGAAACTTGAGTTAAATGTCATGTTTAGTATGTTATTCACGGCTTTAGATGTTGAAAAAACATGATAGCTGTAAAATAAATCTTAACCGATTATTAATTGGATATTAATTATTTTTTCATCATCATGAATGTTGATGAATATATTCCATAGCCCCATGTTTAATGTTGTACAGTGAATTGGCCTTCAGGACGTTAGTTTCCAATTAACATTTTTATGTTTTCCATAAATTGAGTTTTGACTTGTAAATGTGGATGAATGGTAAAAAACAAAACTCAAGGTCCATATAAATTTGTGATTTCACCCACAGCCATAAGCCTGCTAATATACCAAGACATCGTGTAAATGGCAGACTAGAGATGTTTAATAACTTCATATGAATACAGAGAGCCAGGGAGTCTTCAATCATCAGGCCAGCGATGACATTTAAACAGGCACCTGAGCAAATTAAACCCAGAGAAGGTTAAGCTCTGTTAACACCGTTGCAATGTCAAAAATTCTGCATGAAGTTACTTTTCCAGTCTCTTATATTTGAGCTGGGATTGAGTATGATGGTTCACAAAGCCTGGAGAGCTCTTATGCTATGCTCAGTCTGAAACGAATTATCTACTTTTAGCTTACCAGGATTTGTAGACCAAGAGATGAGGGAGAGAAATGGGATACTGCCAGCTTGACCCTTGGGGAGGTTTGTGTATTTGGTGCATTGTCGTCTCTTTATGTCCCTCTGAAGGCCTGAATGCTATTAGATTTTACTTTATAGCCATTTTCAACAAAGCAATGGTGCTGGAAGTTATCTCATCTTGATGGTGCAATAAGTTGGTTTTACCAAAAATAGAACCATTTGAAAAATTATAACTTATATTTAAAAAGGCCTAAATTAACTTTTTAAGAATTTGGTGGATGCATTAAAGATGACATCATATGTCAGTTTCTCACATTGACATGATTCGAGTGTATGTATGAGTATTCATCTAAAGTAATCTCGATTTGTCATGCTTGATATCTGGAATGAGGACACAAATGTTTTTCCACTGTGGAGTGTGTATGAAAAACAATGATTCTGGGGTTGTTTGATGTAAAGATGAACAGAAGAGTCAAAATAGCAAAAAAAAAAACCTGAGAGAATTTAAGAGGTTAAATTATAAATTAAAATACATAATGTGTTTGATGTCAAGAAGCTTTCCTGTTGCTCAGTTGGTAGAGCATTGTGCTAACAACGCAAAGGTTGTGGCTTCAAATCCCATAAATGTAAATGTAAATTTAATGCTCTTAATGAAATAAAAAAAGGCTACTCTATCTTGATCATCTCGTTCTAAAGGAAGTCATTACACAAGTTCACCACCAGGGCCTGCCCTGTAGTAGGAGCATTGACGTGGCGAGTACGAACATACAAGGCAAGGTCCTGATGTGGTCATACACATGTTTACCCCCCAGTGAGGAGTTCTGGGGAGGAAGGAGGGTGAAGCTCGGACAATGTCGACTGGAAACCAGGTAAGGCTGAATTATATATTACCCTGATTAATGGATTGATAGGTGACACGTGCAGTTCCCTGATTGTTTTTCTCCCAAAACTCCTTATACAATTGTCACTTAAATGTGGTGGGGAATGTTTTACAGAATAGTGCTTGAATTATTATTTTTTTAAGCTATTAAGAAGTATAATAGTAGAAGTGAATAGAGTAAAACAGGATAAGGTATAGTCATTATTTTGGGCAGAAACGTTCAAACAATTTTTTTTTATCTTTTACTTATCTATCAGCATAGTCCTTAAAAATAAATGCAGAAATTAGCCCCTCAGGTTTTAAACTATAGTTCCACAAATACAAATGTAATTCATTAATTTGAAATAATGGGGTCACAAAATGGCAATTGTTTAGTTTTACAGTCAATGCATGTTATAAAATCAACTTCCGAACGTTTTTAACCTTTAACATTTGACTTAATGGTGTCAGAAATGTAATATACTTACCTTTTTTTCTAAAACCAGAGGCATGAAATTATGTTTCCATGGCAGCTTAAACAGACTTTGGCCAAAATTGAGCAAAGCACACTGTCGAGCTGATGAATGCAGCAATTAAACATTGGCATTACAAACTCGCATCATTCAATTCACCCCTCACAATTCAAAGCTTCATTACGAGCTGCGAATTTAATGCCAATCTTAACTTTTGTGAAAGCTTTTCCTTTCCTTGGCCTTCTAAATCACATGAAAATGAAGCAGAAAATCAATAGGTAAGTAATTTGACTTCAGTGACTGCCAATCCAACGGAAACCCAAACAAAAACACCCAAGAATTTTTAACTCATAATATCACTTGTCTTCTGAATAAAACATGTGTCCCATTTAGATTCACTCAGCTTCAACTTGGAGCAAAAAATCACAGGCCTGAAGGGATGGGGAAAAGGAGCAATAGTGTTGTCACAAAGACCGAACTTCTGCATGGATAATTACGTCAATTATGCATCGGTGCTTCCTCTTTACCTCTACAGTAAGTGATGAAGATGTCGTCTTGGATCTACATGCTTCCACTTGAGAATGTGAATTCATGATAATAAACCAGACGCTTCAAGCACCTGCCATGGTGCTGCTCCTTGCGATACACTAATTAAAAAAGACAAACATTAGTAGAGTAACATTTCTTGTACCCGTGCCATGGAGATAATTAATCTTAAAATAAAAAGGCTCTCGTTAGTTTTCTCGAATCACAACTCCAAAAATGTAATGACCAAAGCTTGAAACCATCCCAAAAAATAATTCTTATTTTCACTGTACACTCTACGGTTATCACAGTTTGTGGAATGCGGTCGTTTTAGTAGCACTTATACAGTATTTTGCTGTTAAATTTACAGATATTTTTAACAGTATAGATTAGTCTGGTATAGTTGTGGGTGGACACACTACTCTTGAACAATGTGGAACTTCACCGCGAACAATAAAGAATTCACTATAAAACTCATTAAAACAATAACAGTATGCTCTCTAATCTACTTTATCATAATACTGATGTCACATGATGCGATATCATAGGTCCTTCTAGCTGAACTCTGTCCGAAATTGCACCGCGTAGTTCCGCATTGCCGGTAGTATGAGTACCCAGTCGGAACGGTTAGTGAATGACACATGGCAATCATCCAGAGGCACAATAGAAACTTTATGAGGAGACTTGGGGGAGTAGTACAGTAAACATTTCAGTCATTGATATGAAATTAAAGTGTTTGACATCACAGTGCTTTATTTCTACATTTTCAGCAATATTGAACCACTCAAGCACAGCTTGCTGCAATTTTTATCTGGCCCAAGTCTGGTCACAAAACAAGCTTTTGCATGGCTCAAGTACCACAATGAATTTCCAAGTCTGGATTTCAGACAAGGATCACAGATGGGCCATGACTGTCATAAACAAGTTAATAACCTATTCCACATTACACATGAGCTCTGGCCCATGCTTTCTGTACCTTTTCAATTGCCAGATTTGGACCCACATATCATATGCCAGTGCCAAATGTGAAAGACAAATGACAAATTTATCCCATTTTTTAACGACTATTTTTGGGCAAAAACGCCCATCACTTTGTAAAATGGCTGGTGAAAGAAGATTGTGCATCTGCAAGGTTTGGTCTGATGACAAATGTTTCATCCCAAATATAACCTTTCGGCCCCTGCATTGATGCCTTTGACGCCTTTGACTAAATGCCATCTCAAATGTCTAAAAGGGCAGTGAAAGCATTATTGCACCCAGAGTATTTCTGTTTGGGTTTCATGACAATTGGAGGCTAGAGTTGAATTGGTTGATCAAGCATTTGATGGGGTTTCACTGTGGAAACAGTAGATGATAGTCCATCGTCTATCGAAATGTCATCGCCCTCATAGTACAGCCTCCCTCACATTTTCTGACTGAAATGTTGAGAATTTTTTTTTTGTATAAACAAAAACTATTGCTAAACCAATTGTTAATGCATGAGAGATCTTGCTGTTTATAAGGAACCGTTTAGAAATAGCTGCAATGAGTTGCAATATGTGTGTCAATATCTTAGAAAGGATTTGCTGGTGCCAGAACTCAAGTGTAGCTCAGAGGTTAAAAAAAAGTACATAATAAAGTTCCACGGGGAGATAACCTCACTTAACTAAAACTAGCTCAGTATAAACTAACTAAGGAACAAAAAATAGGCAGACAAGAAACTATCCTCACTTGAAAAGATTAACATAAAATATAGAACTGAGGATTTGCAGTGAAGAACATTCTTGATTATAAAGATGGTGGCATTCAGACTAACCTGCCAGCATACATGCAATAAACCAGCAACAAAGAAAGGAAAGGAAGTGACCAGACAGAGAACACCTGGGAGAACTAATCAGGGAAAATGAGAAACCAGGTGGAGAAGGGAAACAAACAGAAGACTGAGAGGAAAATAACAATGAGGTGAAGTGAAGGTTACATTAGAACCAAGTATGGAGTGACCCATACAAGGAATTTGTGCTCTGCATTTAACCCATCCAAGTGCACACACACACACACACACAGCAGTGAACACACACCGGGAGCAATCGGCAGCCATAGCTGTGGCGCCTGGGGAGCTGTGGGGAACTCTGGTGACTTGCTAATGGCCATCACAGTAATGGTTGTCACAGGAGGGAGAGAATTTCAACACTCATCCCACCTCAGACTTCCAGTGGAGCTGGGGATCGAACCGGAGACCTTTTGATCTCCAGTCAATCACCCTTTCCTCTAGTCCACGACAAATGAAGGGCAAAAAAGGTAGACAAGCAGAGAAAGTGTAACAAGGGTCTGATAACTATATATATTTAACATTATCCTCTATATTGGGTATATACCCTTTAATAAAACAACTGATTAGATTTGACCAGTTTTCAACATCACATGGCAGTCGTGACCAAGTGTGGATAAGGTTGACTGGAGATCAAAAGGTCGCTGGTTCACCTTCATGGGTGGAAAACCTACCACTGATCCAGAATAGGAATCAGCCCTTCAAAGCGTACCCTGGAGGTCTTGGTTCTCCGCTGACCAAATCGGTGTGACTACTGGGCTTGTTGAGTCATCAGTTGGATACCTCTTAGTCTGGGTAATTGATGCACCCACAGTCAGGGCCATCATATCACAGCTGCTCGGGGAATCTTGAAGATCCAGCACCTTGGGACTACATACGTCTGGCCTAGGAACTTACACCCCAGGGATGAGAGCACCTAGGGTTTACCTTCCTCGCAGATCTTAGGAACCAACCTGGTAGACTCCTCATGGACTGAATGTGAGTGAGCTCATATTTTACAACATTTTAATAAACAGCTCATTTGCTGTTGAGAATGTGTGTGGTGGGGAGGTTAATTGCGGGGGTGGGGGGACACCCACATCCATTTAGATCCATTTAGCCACATTCAAATAGATGTCCATTTATGATATGGCAGTTTTCTCAAGCATTGGGAAGATGTATTAATTAGAAAACAAGACTCTTTTAAGAAAAATGTCTAATTGTGAGACTGTGAAGTACGTTCTGTTGTATTCCCTCTTTAAACTTTTGTGAAGGATAACACAAACTTCCATACGAGCATGTTCATGTTGGGTAAATGCACTCTCATAATTTTCCTGGCTGGATCAATAATATTAATCAAAAAATGAACCAGGCTATATTTGGACAACCAGAAACCCGATAAGCCCGACTGCACCTGTGTTTCCACACACAGATCCTCGATTCAGTGCTTGTCGCTTTTCTTTATCCAGCCTGAAGGTTTTCTGTGTGTGACACATATCGACATTTCCCATGCATACTGTCACTGTGATAGATTTTCAGTCCTATGCCATAAGTCCCTGCAGTCTTGAACCTCACAGTTTCCATCAGTCTGTCTCTCTTTCAAACACACAAATTGATCCAACATGTGCAGGACTACCAATGTCTACGGCAGTCAATCAATGTATCCTATCGCTGAATAACAAAGTCTAGCAAGCACGACTATTTCCACTCAGCATGAATAATTAATAATGGCTACTATCATGGACACACACTCTGAGTATTTTCCTTTCCTTCACCTCAAGCTACGATTGGCCTCAAGGCACAGTATGATTTTTCACACACTGTGATCAACAAACCAAATGCACCGCAGGCTCCAGAACAAATATCTTGTTTGATACAAACCTTAATTAGCAGACACTATGCAATTTCTGGCCTCCAGCTAGTTGCATCATAGTCTATATTTCAGAAATGTAGTTAAGACTTTTTTAATGCTGCTTTCATAATATGCAGCATAATCAATCAGCAGGGAGTTTTCAGCCCAGTGCATCTAGACAGAAATGTTTATTAAGGGGAGGTTGCTGTGTGAATAAAAACAGAACGGCACTGTGAATGTTACCATATAATCATGATGATGGGGGTCAAATGTAATTGTTTAGTTGGTATGAACCAATTTATTTTTCTGCTGTGATTATTAGTGGATATTATTCAGAAGAAAAACAGGCTTCAGAAATTGCCTCCGTATAATGGAAATACTTTTCAGCTCTGTTGAATTATTAGTAAATAAAGCATAGCCACTTTACATTAAGGTCTTTAACCTTGCGTGAATAATATTTGAATATGTCAATGGAATGATGTTGCTGATTCCATTTGTAATAGTTTGCTCACCCTGAGGTTTTCTCTGCGTGTGACACACTTCTTATGCTTCCATCTAAAGCCGCAGCACCAGGTTAAAAAATAAATGGCAGGCCTAGAAATGAAGCCATTGATGACAAACTAATTCATCCTTTACTTGTGTTATCTGCATTGTTGTGAGAGAAGCAATGTGAGAGAAAGGAAATCGTTTTTTAAAGTTTTACACTTATTGCCTTTAGTCAAGTCATGTTTTCACATAGCGCTTTTATGCAGATGCTTCAGTAGGGGCCTAAAGTAAATTCGTATGAGCATGTTTTGGGGTACAGAATGGCTAAGGTAAAAATATTATTATTGTCTGGCAGAATACATAACAAACAGTTTTAAGTCAATCGAATAAGTCAATTTAAATGTTTTAAGGCTCATATTTTAAACGTGTGGAGAAACCCACACTAGCGATTCCAATTCATGTAGGGAACTACATGGGGAAGCAACTACACCCAAAGAGTGGCAGCTGTCTCACAGGGGGAGTTTTTTCATCTCCATGTGCCTCGCTTAATTATAAAGATCCCTGACAAGCTAATCACCAGCCATAACCTAGAAACTAGACAAAGTAAAGCTAAGAAAAGCATTAAAGTTAATAAAACTTAAAGCCCAACTTTCTTCAGCAGGAAAATCTTGATAAGCTTGATAACCTGGAAAACAAGCTAGAACAGAAAAAAAAAACAGTTAGAGCAACAAAGAAGAATTCAGCGTTTCACTGCAATTGTGTATAGATTTTCATTCATTTTCCAACCTTCTTATTTCCTTTTGGGGTCATGGGAGTCTGCCAGTGCCTATTTCCAGTGCACATTGCGTGAGAGGCAAGGGTACACCAGTCCATCACAGGGAAACATTCACTCACACATTCACACCGAAGGGGAATTTAGATTATTCAATTAACTTTCCAGGAAGGTCACAGACGAGCCTCAAACCGGCAACCTTCTAACTGGAGGACAACAGTGCTACCCACTGCACCACTGTGCCACCCGTGTATAGAATTTACATTAACATATGGTTGAAGTGATATATTTTTAATCTTGATTTAGAATGGGAGAGTGAATCTGAACGCCCTTCCTCTGATGACTTTTACTATCTCAGGAACGACAAACAGCCCTCCATTCTACCGGAGATAGAGTCAGGATATAGTGTGAGAGAAGACTGCTCTTCTGGAGATAGACTGTTCAAGGTTTAAAATGCTAACAGGAGTATTTTATAATCAAAGTGGTATTTTTAATAAACCAGTGCAATGAGGATAGGATCGGTGTGATATGATCATACTCTCTTGTTCTGTGAGGACTCTAGCAGCTCTCTTCTGAACTAGCTGTGGTTTGTTTAAGGAGGAAACTGAACAACCTGCTAATGAAGTGTTACAGTAAACCATTCTAGAGGTCATGAATGTATGGACTAACTTTTCTGCATCTGCTTAAGATAACATGTTCCTCACCTTAGAGATGTTTCTGAGGTGGAAGAATGCAGTTTAGTAACCATATGAAATATGATTGAGGATATAATAGTATTGTCACCAAGTGTCTTGTTTGATACAAAGGGATTATGGGTCTAGTGTAGTGGAATCATTTTGTCTCAAAATGATCACACCATGCTTACTGATAATGTTGCAGAGAGGCAGCATAGAAATAGAGAATATTATTGGCCCTAATACTGATCCATGTGGCACTCCATATTTCACTGCTGTTGTAAACAATAATTCACCATTAATGTTAACAAACTGAGTCTGGTCAGACAGCCGGACCCTGAATAACTGTGTAGTTCTCAAAATTTTATGGTCAAATGCAGCACTAAGATCAAACAAAGCCAAAGAGAGATATTCTATTGGTCGGACTATATGTCTCTAGAGTAGCCTCTGTGCTGAAACTTTTCACAAAGACCATTACTTTTAGGGAAAGTAGAAATTTTAGACATAAAAGGAAGATTTGAAATGAGTCTGTAACTAGACAGTTCATTGGGATTTAGCGGTGGCTTATTGATTAAAGGTTTACTGACTACATTCTAGAATGACTTAAGGACATGTCCTAAATATAGAGAGAGTTAAGGATGTGGAGAAGCAGTACCTGAGCTTCCTGAGTTCCTCTTAAAAGGCGTGTGTAATTTTATTGCTATTAGTTTGTGGTAATACTCAGCTTTAGCAGCTTTTAGAGCCAGTCTTTATGTAGACATGCTATCGTTCCCGGCGATTAAAAAATACAATGGATTTCTGGGAACATAGAAGAGGTTGGATATATCTGGTAAAGAACTTGTAGCCTGTAGTATTGACTATAACGTCTAATACCTCCGGTATGCATCATGCAAGTTATAAGGCAATGATCTGTGAGATCATCGCTGTGAGGAGATATATCTCTGTTGGACAAGTTGAAGCCATTAAAAGAAGCATGATCCGATGACGTCCAAACTGTAACATGCTAACTAGCAACAAACAAGGTGGAGAATTGGAATTGGAAGGTGTTTTATAGGCACATCTGTGTTTTTACAAGATCCTGTGAGTCAATTGAAACTGATTGGTTTAGTTTTCTGAAGCAAATAATTCCAGAGAATTGATTTTTATGATTAAATCCATTTTGAGACTTCTGTTTTCAAACACCTTTTGAACTTTATATTTTTTCATACTGTGATATTGGTAAATAGTTACAAATATTTGTTTTCATTATTATTAAAATCAAAGCAGGCTGAAAGGGTGAGCCGCACATCTTTTCATCTTATCTGATATGGAACTTTTGCTTTCTTTCTATTTCTTTCATTCCTGGTGCATTTTCACAAATTACCTTAAGATAAAGACAACATCTAGAATCTTTAAAGAACAATCCATAAGGAATTTACAAAAGCGTATTCATTTTGCATTTGCTTCCAGTTTTTTCACATTCCAGCATTACATTGATGACTTTTAGAACATAGAATGTTCACTCATGGTCCTCAGCTAGACATCTAGTATTAAATCATTTTGGGAAGTTACCTCCAGGAAAGTCTGAAAACAGTCTCTCTCAATCTTTAATAGCTGAATATCTGAACTACTATCAAACATTCTCAAAACTGGTCCACCATCTTGGTGTTGTAACACTGAGAAGTAACAGACGAACGTTTCTTTGAAGCACAA